GGCCTGGTTACTGAGAGGGACCCAACCGGGAAACAAAAGGGACCTTTATTTATATATTTGCAAAGTTAGTAACACGTGACATAGGGTTACCTAGTGACTAATAGCTGACCTTAACCAGACAGGATGTATATCTCAGGACTGAGGTAGCTTGTTTGCTTTAGGCCCTGAGGCCCAGTCCTGCCTACACACCTTTGACCCATTTTCCAGCTTCTGAGGCTCCCAACAGCCACCTCCCCGTTTGGCCTTGCCTAGACTGCCCCATCTCTCTCTCCTTCCCTTGCTCTATCAAAACTTTACAAATACAGGAAGGAGATGAGGGAAGAAGCAGGACCAATAAAAGGAAGAGCCAAAGCACATGCCCACATTTAGCCATGAATCTCACTAGCCAGGCAATGACCCCCTGCGTAGGTAGCACCAGCGTGATCGCCACTGCAACCTAGGAACCTATGTGAGCTAACAAGGAGAAAGAATTGGGCCCTCGTGTTCCCCAGTTTGGAGGGGGAAGCACATTGGTTGCCAGCTAATAATCTGTTATTCCTGTAATTTGATCTCCCATAGACAATAAATCTGGGCACTACAATATTAACAGAGCCAAGGGCAAACATCATCTGACCATCGCAATAGAAGCAGAAAACACGTTGGCAACATCCAGCAACCATTCATGATAAAATCCCTCAAAAAATCAAAATCTTTTTCTCAATCTAATAAAAGTCATCTCTGACAAACCAACAGCCAAAATCATACTAAATAAACAAAAATTGAAAGCATTTAGTCGAAGGAATAAGACAAGGATCCCACTGTCTCTACTTTGATTCAACATAGCCCTGGAAGCTTTGGCCAGAGCTATTAGACAAGACAAAGATATAAAAGAAATAAAAAAAATTAAAAAGACATAAAAGAAATGATGACATAAAAGGAAGAAATGAAGTTATCATAATGTGCAGATGACAGGATACTCTACATAGAAAACTGAAAAATTACAGTAAACCAATGTTAGATTTAATAAGCAAATTCACTAGCATGGCTGGATACAAAATCAACACTCAAAAAACTTCCTATACACAACAATCTCACTCATAAAGAAATCTGGGGAGCAGCAGTGTCCTCAATGCATTGAATAAAGTGGAAAACTTAGGAACCAACCTAACGAAGGCTGTAAAAGGCTTCTTTGTTCAGAAATACAGTATTCTGAAGAAGCAGGCTGAAGAGGGCATCAGAAAATGGAAAGATACCTTATGGAGTTGGGGAGGAAGAACAAATACAGTGAAAATAGCCTATTTCCAAAATTCTTCTACAGATGTAATGCAATTCCAATGAAAATGGGCACAGCATATGTCACAGAACTAGAGAAAACATCCCTAAAATTCATTTAGAAACAGAAAAACACTAGAATAGCAAAGACAAGTCCCAGCATCAAAGAAAAATGAAGCACAATTGCTCACTTGATGTTATACTATAAAGCCAGAGTAATAAAGACAGCAGAGTACTTATATTCAGAAAAAAAAAAGATGTAAAGATCAATCAGGCAGGCTAGACAATGCAGAAACAACTCGGTACATACTTAGTCACCTTATATTTGACAAAGGAGCCAATCACATACACTGGAAC